GGGGGGGGGGGGGTTAGTAGAAATAAAAAATTTTCCAGTCATATCATACTGAATTGCAATGTACAATGAACATTTTTGACCAAATTTCTTTTAAAAATATCAAAATTTCCAAACGAAAAGGGCACCTTCGATGTTAATATAGTATTTACAGCGACGTTAGCTTGTACAAAAAGGGCACTTTTCATCACAAAAAGCATACTTTTAGTCCTTTGCCATGTGCCCCCCCCCCCCTAAATTCTACCTGAGCGTTAGCTTGACAATAAACATATTATGCAAGTCTGCCTGCATTAGTGCATTTGGAAGGCCCTGAACTAGAAATTAACCAGTCAAACCATTATTTTACTCTGTCTAACACCTGATGATTACTTACCAATTAAAGAAAACCCTTGTGTCTTAATGGTTAACAAACCTTAACTTACTAAAATAAAAAATAATTGTCAACCAACTTGTTAGGCAAACAACTTGCCAACAAGATATGAGATTTTAATTTTGTCTGTGTCCTGTCCATTAATCCATTCGAACAAAATTCACCACTTAACTTAAATAGGTATTTTTATAATGAGTGACAAGTTATAATAAAAATACAGTACCTTCACTTTCAGTTGTAGTGTGCACTGTTTCAATAAGTTCAACATTATCATTCAGAAGATCTGCTATTGCACTGTGGATATCATCATGATTACTTGATAATGCTTCTTCAATTTCTGACCTGGGTTTTCTTGGAAACATCAGGCAAAGTTGATCTATGTTACTATGACCGGAATTGGATGAATTTGCAGAATCATCCTTTCCAATACTGGTATCTCGTAGCAAATCAATTGACTGGTTCAAATGTACATAAAGTTTCCCTTGACCAGCTATCACTTTCACTTGAGCATAGTCCCAACACTGATCAGTGCTGCAAACTGGTGTTGAAACAATTTTCCGAGACACTTTCACAAATTCAAAGTCAAACTCAGTAACATTTGGAAGCCGAACACTAATAACTTTACATATCTTTTCTCTCATCATCTGTTCATTGTCATCTGTCATGACATCTACAGTTCCACAAAAAAGAATATCATCGTTTGTTATTGAGTAGTCAGGAATGATACCATCAGATTCCAAAGATTCTTCCTCGGTTGTTTGAGAAACATGATTTAGGCATATAAGTTCAAACATTTTTGGCTCGGGAATTTTTTTCCTCGGCTCCTTCGCATATGAATGGCTAACAAGACGACGCTTTGGAATCTGAGATGATACATTTGAGGAGACAGATGCAGCATTTGATCGAAGCAAGTCACGAGCTCGACGCACCACTCCAGTTATATTTTGTGTGGCTGAAACATTAAAAAGTATAGAACACTGCATTTCAGGTCAAGCTGTCAAGGGGGCCAATAATATATTAGGGGAAGGATTGGGAGGGGATAGACTGATAAATTTGTTTTCATGCAAGTTTATGAGTGATGAAGACTTCAGAAATTGACTTGTTGTTTGTTAACCCACTGAAAAGGGTCCATTCCATTTAATATCCCCCCCCCCCCCCCACCCGTGGATGAGGCCAGTAAAATTTTAACCCCTAAGAAAAAAGATTTACATAACTTTGTAAATTTTCCACTTACCCCTCAGAAATATCGCAGTCATCAAAGGATGGCCGATAGGCTTAACCCCTCAGAAACAAAATCAGAAAAATTCATCCATGGGGGAGGGAGTGGACATTAAACGTACACCCGTATTGGTGCAAGCCTCATAAGAGGATGTGAAATAAATAAACATGCATGCAAGGCACAAGGGTTTATAAAAATATCAGTACTTCAATGGGTTAGGAATATACGTCATAGGAAATTCCAGGGAGTGGGTATATAAACTGAATTCCAGGGAGTCACAATTTAGCTGGTAAAAATATGTTCTCACCCCTCCCCCCCCGGCCAAATGATGGATTTTTAGACCCCCCTCCCCCTTGTCTAGCATTGTCCAAATTAGTGACCCCTTCCCCCGGACATCCGCCATGCCTCGCAAAAAAACATGCAACCTTGTATATGTCAAGAGTAAAAAACTTTTTTTTACTTTTATAACTTTTTTATAACTATAAATGTATTGAAGGAAATAATTAGATAATATTATGAAGTGTTCAAAATGCCAATTTCACAATGGGAAGGAGAGTTCAAAATAGAGGAAAAAGAAATTGGTTTTTGAATTTTTTCAAATTTCGGACATCCGGATTCCTAAAAACCTCCCTCCTCCCACCCCCTATGTCCGAGTTTTACCTGATTTTCCAAACACCCCTCCCCCCTCTCGGCTCGGACATCCTTTGTGAATATTGGCCCCTAAGCGATATGCATATGTTGTAGTTCAGTTTCTTTTTCTGTTTTACAGAAGTATTTATAGCAGATACTTGTATAAACACTGCACGTATAAAGCTTTTTGACTTAAGTTAAAATGTAGTTTGCTGTATTACAGTTATACTTTTATTAACATTATTATTTAATACATACAAAGACGAGTCTGACTTGTAGGTCGACTTTTACCAAGTTCGCTCTGCTCACCAGCCTCACCACGACTGACAGGAGGATGGGGCTATGGTTGCCGGTGTTGTTGTCTCTACTCCTTTCCGAAATAACTTCCTCTACAATTCTTCGTATTTCGGCTTTTCGATCCATACTATATAAAATGTAAATTTATAGAACTGCGGTTGCACGCGGTCGCGAAGGGAAACATCACAAGTTCACAACCGTATATCCCCGTAAGCAATCGGCAACTCTACGGAAATGTATTTTTAAAAACTACCAGTGGTGTATGTTATTTTTTTGGCGGTATACCGCTGGTCAAAAGCTATTGAATATATTTTGAGGTTGTTTTATTGAATATTTTTTTGGCCGCATTGAATATTTTACGGTGTAATTTACTGAATATTTCAGATGTTGTATTGAATATTTAACAAGGTTATTGAATGTTTTTGCGAAGCTATTGAATATATTTCGGTAACTATTGAATATAAAATGGTTTATTGAATATATAATGTGTGTATTGAATATAAAAATGTGTATATTGAATATAAAATGTGTGTATTGAATATAAAATGTGTGTATTGAATTTTGCTACAATCCGGCAACCATACTTGTCAAGCTGTCGGACAGGCGAATCCTCCAGAACCATTACGTATGACCGAAATGCCAGAGTTACCATGGAGAACTGTCCACATAGATTTTTATGGTCCACTACCATCGTCTGAATATCTTTTAGTGGCGGTAGATAGATACTCCAGATTCCCAGAGGTTGAGATCGTTCATTCAACACGAGCCTCAACAGTCATTCCAAAACTTGACAAAATGTTCTCAGTCCATGGCATTCCTGACACCATTATATCTGACAATGGTCTCCCTTTTAACGGAGACGAATATGCACGATATCTGTAAGCCATTGGGATTCAAGCTAAGTTTTCAACACCCTACTGGCCCAAAGGTAATGCTACAGTTGAACGATTTATGCGACCGTTAGGAAAAGCGCTCAAGATAGCGACACTCGAAGGACGACCATGGAAACAAGAATTGAACCGTTTTCTTTTACAATATCGTACCACTCCACATTGCACTACAGGAGTACCTCCATCAGAACTGTTTTTTAACCGAGTGATAAAAGGAAAATTACCAGTTATAAACAGCAAGAAGATTGTCAATCGACATAAAGAAGCTCGAGATAATGAGAAAACACGACAAGAACGCAACCGAGAATATGCAAATCAAACACAAGAAAAAGTGATCTACAAGTTGGAGATTATGTACTGGTTAGACAAGAAAAGAAAAACAAGCTAACTGCGAATTTTAATCACAAACCGTATAAAGTGATAAAGAAAACTGGTTCAGAGATACTTGCCCAAAGTAAAGATGGTCACATTGTGAAACGGAACGTGTCACATTTCAAGCGAATAAATAAACCACGAGAAGAAGACACTGATGATGAAGGTTTCGATTATGAAGAAAACTCGCAGGACAATCAGCCACCCATCAGTAATGAAAACAACGAAGTACCAAGAAGATCAAGCCGAATTCGAAGACCACCGAATCGATACGGACATGAATATCCATCAAATCTAATAAGCTAACATAACAATGAAATAACTAAATAACTTCAAATTTAATTAAACACTTTGATATTTGACAATCAAGTTAAAACAAAGGGAATGGTATAGTAATGTACGTCTATTAATCATTAACGCACGTATTACGATTAGTTTATATTTAGAATATGGACATTATATATTCAGTTGTTTACATGTTGCCGAGATATCAAGAAGTCTATTAAATATCAGAACATTATATTTATAGCAATGTGCTTTCAGCACGCTTTAAAAACAAACGCGGAATGTTGTGTATGCACGTCTTAATAATCGCGCTTAATAAGATTCCTATAGAAATTAGGTCTGTTTATATCTCTGAGACTATATGTTCATTGTTAGCATAATATGAAATAATCCTACCGGGCTACAATTGTCACTATTCAGGGTATACACTGATATTTTTCGATTTTGCTCACAATTTCGTTCTTGTTAATAATATAGTTTTGCTGTTCTTATTGAGTACAATCTTAATCATTACAATGAATGGTGTCGTCTGAAGCGGACTTATTAAACAAAAATGTCAACAAATAGCAGATTGTTCAGTTGTTCTGCGATAGGGGTAGCTTTGAAGGTGCCATTAAAACGATAACTGAGAGAAAAAATAACTTAGTGTTTCTAGATATGATATTCTGCAGTATTCAGCGGCAAGGTAGCCATGGCAACTGGTCATGATATACTAACAAACTTGCATTTATTTGAATATTGCAAATCATTAAAAACTTACATACATGTAGCATGACCTGTCGCTATGGCTAGTTTCGCCATTGCCTCATCATGCAGGCTACTGTAGCTTTGCCACTGACAGTATTATAATTGTACGTGTGGGAGCAAGAAATTATGACCGTTGAAGTATAAAACCGCCCATGCCAACAAAGTAGAATTAGAATATTTAGCTGACCTTCGACTTTGTGCAAGATGTTTCATATTCAAATTGCACTTTAATTTCCTACCTCCTGAACAGGTGTCTTAGAGGCTGTTTACATGATGGAAGATTTACATGATGGATGATTTTGATGTATTGAAATATTAATAAGTCGCTAGGCTAAACAAAAGTTCATATACTGGTAAAAGATCTTGTAGTTCAAGAAGATTATTATTGCTGCTTGAACAACCTTTCGTTTACAGTTAACTATAGTCTATCTCCAGAAAATAATGTGGTTTTTTGCACGATCGTGCAGTGTGACTTATTTCAATACATTAAAATGATCCTGCCTCACATCTGATCTCGTACTGCCAAAGTGGGATGATATAAACAGCACCTTATCACAGAATAAAGACACACAGAAGGTCTACTCGGCCAAAAAGGCGTAACCGCTGCTACACCATGATTCACCATCCTAGCCAGTGCGCTTATGAGAGGCATCACCCCTGGACGTCTGCCATTTTGAATATTACCAGGGGGTGAATGCCTCTCGTAAGCGCACTGGCTGCATGGCGTCAGCATTTTGATGACGAATTACGGTTACGCCAAAATCATAGGAAAAACCAAAAAGTCCGGCCTCTGTTAGTTTCTATTCTGTGCCCTTATTTAGCAAATTGCATTCACATGCTGCCTTTGATTCCTTGGGAGTGAGGCAGCACTCTTGGGATAGTAACTTCTAGAAATAAAATAGTCAGGGATCGCTTGCCATATTAGTACATCATGTTCCAATACGGGTCTGATAGTAGTTCCATATGTGCACTTTTAGTATTCCTTTGCTCAACGCACGAAGGACGCGTAGGGAATATAGCTTCTTACAAGCTTTGTTGTAGATATAATGAACACGTTTATTCCACTTAAGATCCTCTCTCATTTGAACTCCAAGTAATTTATAATTGGTTACCCTTTCTACTACGTTGCTGCCAATTACAAAGTGCCTCATTATAGAGTTGTTATTATTCATAAAATTAGTCACCATCTCCTTGCATTTAAGTGGGTCGAGACTCTTTTAAGAGAATTGATGGATTCATCTACCTTATTATTGTTCAGATAACTAATTGAGTTCCTGGGAATGATCTCTAGCGCAGCTGTGTCATCGACAAACTTTGTCCTTAAATGCCAATCAGATATTAGCTTATTTGTCATAACCGAGAAAAGAATAACTCCAAGTTTAGTAACTTTAGTTCCCTGAGGTGCAGCACCGTTCCGGGATTTCTAATCTGACAAAGTTCCCCTTATTCTGACAGCCTGTTTTCTATTGGCAAGGCATACACGTCTGGGACGTCTTGGCATACCCATTCTCTCGGATATATGTACCATGTAGTTTGAGAATTCCACACATTCCAAAACATGTCAGATCTTCTAGCAGCTGCCATTGATGAAGCCACATATGACATGTCAACGGAGCCTGCACTTGCTCCGCTGTCTGGGGAAACGCTTCCACCGAGCGCCAACTCGGCCGAGTAGACATCGCAGCAAGAGGTTTCTGGCAGAAGTGTGAAAAAGGCATTTGTTGATGTACGGGTATTCGACCCTTATGCCTCGACACACAGCGCCTCACCAATGTCTTCAAGGCAAATGAAAAGGAGAAGTAGCGGCAACACAACCAGAGAATTGTCCAGATCGAACATGAATCGTTCACGCCGCTGGTATTAAGCGCATTTGAAGGTCGCAGCAGGGAAACGCGGCATTTGTAACAACCTTGGCAGATCAGAGTGCTGTCAAAAAACACTTCCAGCCTTCTATTGCCAGGAGCTGGTTACGGAAGATCGCCCTCGCCCTCCTTCGTGCACAAGTCCTTTGTGTGCGAGGCAGTCGTACGGGAAGAAAACTCCCATTCACATCGCGTCGGACATTGAACTTTCCGAAAGAAGCTCTAAACTTTAAAATTTCAAATTATATGTTTATATTTTGTTTTTGATGTTACTCTGAGTGTATATCCACACCGGGCAGGCTGAAGAGTTAGCCTGACCGTTCAGTGGGAATCGAACCCGCGATATATAGAGGATATTAGACGGTTGCGAAGAGATATGGATTTTATGTTCGAGTGGCAAAAGATATTGTTTTTGACACGAGAACATAAATCCATATCTTCTCATAACCGTTTAATGTTCGGTTTATTATACTGTATGGACTTATTCAGAGTGACAAAAGTACACACAAAGACGACATGTAAATACTGTAAGCACGCGAAAGACCAGTGTAAATGCGATATTTGTTAAAATTATAGTGCGAACATAAAACTAGAATAAATTTTACTTATCTCAAGATGTCTTTTAAATGTTTTCGTTTTATTTCCAACGTTAATTTCGTTTTAAATACGAACCAAAGACCATTTGTATTTTCAAAACAACAACAATGAAAATGCAGGGGTGAAATACGGAAAATACGCGCACCTGGCCCCGGATATAGCGACGTATGAGTTCTACGAGTGTTTTAGTTTCCAGTAAAACACCATTGCATGTCCATATAATAAATGTTTATATGTTCAAATTTTATGCTAAACTAAAAATTTCATATACTCAGCATGCTTGAATTAACCACGTTGTAAACCTTTTTTGTTGTTGTGTTAACTGTAATAAAATTTGTTTTCACTAATGTAAGAAATACATGCGGTTAATCACAAGAGTATTAAGGAAGGTCCCTTAGCGTACATCATACCATACACCAACTGTCCTATGTTACGGGAATCGCAAAGAAAGTTGACGACATTAAAAAAAGTTGCTGAACTTAATAATGGCAATGCAATACGTATAGCTGAGACATAGTTGTCTCCAAATGTTCCAGATTCCTCTGTCGTTATCCATGCAGGATACAATCTATTTCGGAAATATTGTAATGAGTGACTACAACAGGAGCAGTAGTGTGCATTTATCTAAACAATACAATTCCCTGTAACAGGCTAGAGCAATCTAACGAAGAAGGAGTTGAATCTCTATGGATTTCAATGAGACCCTATTTTTAGCAAGGAATATAACATCGATAATACTGTCAGTAATATACCATACGACCTCTAATCGAGAATCTGAGAATATTATTCTTCGACAACATCTGCAACGTAACCTTGATAATCTATTAGCTATAGTCGGCCAAATGCGCTTGCAATAATTACTGGCGACTTCAATCCTACGTGAACTGGATTTCCATCGAAAGATTTGACTCAAACAAATCATCTCGAACAACTCATCATTTTTAATACAAGGGATTCTGGTATTCTGGATTTGGTCCCGACAAATCGGTCTAGGTTGCCTAAAATTGCATCCTCCGATTATTTTACAATACTGGCGAAACCACTTCTAGGACCTAAGAACCAAGTAACTAAAAAAATTATATCTTGTGATATGATGGATTGTGCCTGACGTGCATTTGGTCGCTGGATAACCCAGAAATACTGGAACCCACTCCTTACTACTTCATCCTGTGAAGATAAATTCCAACTATTCATCAAAGTGTTAAAGCAAGGTATCCACTGCTATCTTCCACAAACGACATTAAAAGTTCACCAACCAGATCGCCCATGGATAACAAATAAACTCAAAATATGGATCAGAAAACGCCAAACCGCATTCCACAGACATGGCAAAAACGCATATATAAACACTGGACGAATAAAATTCAGAGAGAAATTAAATCGGCCAAGTCACATTATTATAAACATAACGCAAGTAGCTTACGATCCTGCAAGGAAAGATTTCAGCCGGCCGTGAGTGCATGAAGTAGTTCAGTGTCGGTGATCTTGTCAATCTGCTGCAGTTGATGTTGAATATCTCGAATCGTGCGGATATGGTAGGAAAATCTGTGACGTAATCCAGACAAGAAGGCAGTGTAGACTGCTTGAGGCTCATACTTCGCAATGTCACTCAGCATGAGTACACGGAATTGGTTGGACCAACTTTCAAGGAGGAACTGTATGTATTTCTTATATTAGTTGACTTTTTAATTGTCCGGTGCGTAATCCTGAAGGAGGATATTAAGCATTGGCGCGATGGGTAAAAGGCTGGACGAGGATTCACTCCCTGTCTTAAAGTTGATGGGGGAATGGGCGTTGGCATTCGGGTGGACCGCA